TGGCCGCATAGCGAAAACACCTGGGAACCATCACGTCACCTTACCCACGCGAAAAAGGTCCTGAGAGATTGGCAGAGGAAACAATCCAACCCAGACACACGCGTTCGCCTCCTGCCAACTCTCGAAGCCGGACATTGGGATTACCTCATCCATCGCTACAAACCCAAAGACAAGCGCCTTCCATATCCCCAGCGACAACTCTTCGATCCGTACGAAAACGTCTTCACGCCCATTGGCCTAGTCAATGAGGACATCGACCCTAGAGAGGGGGTAATGTCATAATCCGACTCTTTTTCATCTTATCATCGACGATCTTATCTTATCTTGGCACGACTTATCTTATCACGGATCACGGCATCAGACGGTCCGGGCTAGGGGTTCCAGGGGTTAACTCTATCGATTCGAGGCTGCGCGACATATGCTCCGGAAGGTTCTACTACAACCCATGACCAGTGCTCCATGCGGTACATAGCCCTATGACTCATTAGTTGTAGATATGACTCAGACTGGATTTGGGTATAAATACTGTAGCTACTTTGTTGTATTCTCCAGTCTTCGAATTCATTTCTCTTTTCGACTTTGTTTTTGGGTTGATTGTCACATGTGGTGTGACACCTTCACCAAAATGATCCATGTCGAACCCATTAGTACTGACATCAGCAGCAAAAGAGTCACACAATTAACCAGGGACCAAGTCTTCTGCTACCACGGGATCCCTTGCAAGATCATCACCGACAGGGACTCACAATACATCAAAGGCTTCATGAAGGAGACGAATCGGATGTTGGGCATAGAAATGAATCCAGGGACCGCATATCACCCAATCACGGATGGGCAGACAGAACACATGAATCAGGAGATCGAACATTATCTCTGCATCTACATCAATTACCATCAGACGGACTGGTTGGAGTGGCTGGGAATGGCGGAGTGTGCATATAATGATAAAATGAACACATCTACCAAAATATCACCGTTCTACGCCAATCACGGATATCACCCATGGAAGGGAGTGGAGCAGTGGATGGAATCGAGAAACAAGTCGGCGGAGGAGTTTGTAAAAAGAATCAAAGAAATACAAGACAAAGCAAAAGCAGCATTGGAAAAAGCAAATGAAAAAATGAAAAAATACTACAATAAACAAAGAAAAGAAGTTCCGGAGTTGAAGGTTGGGATGAAGGTGTACATAGAAGGGGACAATATCGAGACGGACTGGCCTTCGAAGAAGATGAGCAACAAGAGATTGGGGCCATACAAGATACTGGGGAAGGTTGGAGCGGCTGCATGGAAGCTGGATATGCCGGACACGGACCGAAGACACCCAGTGTTCAACAAGTCACTGTTGACACCCTATCACGAACCACCCCCGCATTGCCGAGAGAAGAGAACTGTAGCCAAGATGATCGGAGGAGCAGAAGAGTGGGAAGTCAAAGAAATCGTGAAGGAACAAAAAGTCGGCCGAGGAAAGCAATACTTGGTCAAATGGAAGGGATGGCCGCATAGCGAAAATACCTGGGAACCATCATGTCATCTTACCCACGCAAAGAAAGTCCTAAGAGATTGGCAGAGGAAACAATCCAACCCAGACACACGCATTTGCCTCCTGCCAACGCTCGAAGCCGGACACTGGGACTTTCTCATCCATTGCTACAAACCCAAAGACAAGCACCTTCTATATCCCCAACAACAACTCTTTGACCCTGACAAAAACGTCTTCACACCCATTGGCCCAGTCGATGAGGACATCGACCCTAGAGAGGGGGTAATGTCATAATTCAGCCCTTTTTCATCTTATCATTGATGATCTTATCTTATCTCAGCATGACTTTTCTTATCACGGATCACGACATCTGACGGTCCAGGCTAGGGGTTCCAGGGATTATCTTTATCGATTCGAGGCTGCGCAACATATGCTCTGGAAGGTTCTACTACAACCCATGACCAGTGCTCCATGCGGTACATAGCCTTATGACTCATTAGTTGTAGATATGACTCAGACTGGATTTGGGTATAAATACTGTAGCTACTTGGTTGTATTCTCCAGTCTTCGAATTCACTTCTCTTTTTGACATTATTTCTTGTTGATTGTCACACCAAGCCCGGTAGCAGTGACAAAGACACAATGTACCCTCCAGGGATTACAGAAGACAGCATATTGCTATTGCAGGCTTGCTGATTCTCTTGGTGTCAACATACAGCTACTTGCCACCATCCTTTGTGTGCAATGCACAAGCGGCACCCAGGAAAAGATCACCCCAATATGACAAGACAGGCAGAGATGAGAAGTACACAAGAAATGAGAGAGACAAAACACATTTATTGTAGAGTGTTGTCTCCACATTCTAAGCAACGCACATCTAGGAAAAATACGGAACAGCATCACCGGATCAACAAAGCCAACAAGATGGGCAAGTTATGAGTGTGGAGAGTGCCTTGACAAGCAAGGCAATACTCTGTGATGACTAACCTAAGTATATCCCTTTTATTTTCAAGTTCTTGAGATAGCAGCTGTGATATACAGCCATTATCTAGTTTTGGGGACAAAAAATGGACTAGAGTCGTGCAGGAACAGGCACTAAAAAGATTTAACAAAGTATTGGAAACAATGATCATGTCAAGCAATATAAATTCTCATTATCCATTCCCATTTTATTCTGCTAAATGTCAAAGGAAAACTCAACGAGGAAAGCCTGAGTTACCCAAGGACAACGGCATGGTGCATCAAGTGATTGAAAAAAATGACACTTGTAACCGGTGCGTTTCTTCCACGGAATGGATCACGCCATTATTCGCACCATATTCTGAGTGGCCCAGATGAAATAAAATCAAACTGCGCGTCTCTAAGTTTACGAGAGCTATCCTGACTACAATCTCCGTGTCAATCACCTCAACGTGAACGTTTTCCTCAAATGTCTCGTCCGCGGCTTGATTTTATCCCGCCTCAACTCGGTTGGTCGCGTACGCCCCTTCAGCCTCTCATAAACACCACACGCGTTGCACACGACCTGCCCGTCGATGTTCTTTCGCCAAAGGCTCGTCTTGCGTGTCCGACAGTTGGTGCACATGGTCCCGGAATACTCTGAGTCAGGAATGTGGGCGTCAGCGGAGGGGGTGTCTATGTCCGCTTCAATGAGAGCACGTGGTCGGGCCGTTCCCCGCTGCAGCAGATATAGCCCACATGCGTTGCACAGGGATTGGCCCGTGCCGGGTTGTCGCCGCCAGAGCGGAGTAGACGTCACTTTGCAGTGTGCGCACGTCTTGGGCATTTCTGGTCGAGGGGGGTCGGAGTATTCGGGGTATGAATGGGATTGGACGAGGGTTGGGGAGGTGGATGGAGAGGCCGAAGCGGAGGTCGAGGCGCTTGGTGGGAGGCTACTATGCGACGGCCACTGGTCGTGCTGCGGATACACTGGCCAGAATGCAGAGTCCTTCGACCAATTGCTGTTTGTGGATGTACTCCCGGACTGTGGATACGACGACATCTGTATGGGTTCTTGCATTGTAATGAGGCCAGAGAAATCAAGATCCTCGCAGGTGAAATGGCCGGCAGCCAGGGCGTTAAGAGCCCGAGACGGACTGCTGCTGTAAGCGTTGGCAGACAAATAGGGATTAGACGCCAGGGCGAAGGAATCTGTCCAAAGCGATGGGTTATCGGGCACAGAGTAGAACAGGCTTCCTACCGATTTGATGTCCCGGGCGTATCCAATCCAGAGATCGAGAAGAGATAGAGTTTGAGTGGCTATAGGGGTCCATGGGCTGACAGTGGCGGTGAGAGGCAGGGCCAAGTCAACTATTTATGTATAACATCAGCCCATCGCAACCCTACAGGATGTGAGCTCACCAATATCTTTGTCACGGCACGTGGATTGCTTATCCCGGACGTTTCATACCAATAGGCGCATTGTCAGGTCTTCTTGGACCTGGGAATCTCAAGTCCGAGTTCCTGTTCCCGTGTTACTTCTTCGTCGGAACTAATGGTTTTGGCGACTTACCACATGTCCCGAACCGTAAATTTCGAGAAAATCAGCTTCCATAAATTCCAGAATATGACACTAGCAAAGCTGTAGAGCATGCAGATTGGCGCTAACTACGCCACGTGAGTTTCCGGAGCACGGGTCGATCCATGCATGGTACCTAGCACAAAGAAGCTGGATAGCAGGCTGAAAATTTGTTCCGAGCCCCACATAGCGCCAAACTCCCCACGACGTCCGTCACTACGTAGGGGCCGACGTCTTAACATGAGCCGGAAGTTTGAAACCCAGCAGAAATGGCGTGATGGATGATGGCGCCGAAATGATGGTCGCGAAAAACCTTAACTTTGGGGGATAAAAGGCCGAGACAGCGCATTGTGCGAAAGCGGAGGATCGTTGACAGGCGGGATAGAGACTCGGGAGAAGGACTTCTGAGGGCCATCTAGGCCTTCTAACATTTCTTGAACATGCAGCAGCTCGGTTCTTTCACCGTCGTGAAGGGCGGGGTACCGGTGCGCAGCACCCACCCGCCATCTATGAAATCCGCTAGTGAAATTAGGAAGCTGTTGGAGGAAGACGAGGGCAGGACTTTGATAGTGAGCTCCTTAGCAGCCGAGGGAATGATTTTCGGGGTCTGGTGGGTGCCAAGGAAGCGTATACACTGACTTCTCCGACTTCGCATGGAACTGCGGAGAGCCATTCCGATGGACTCGAGACAATATCGAATCCCGGATGTGGTGTCAGTCACCTGTAAGTCGTTCCGAGAACCGCCGCCCGCGCTGTGTACGCTCGAACTCGTCCAGATGCGGCGTAGAATACCGTCCTTGAAGGATTTGATCACCCGTCACTGGATTGCGGCCCACCGGTAGTTATGGAAGGGTTCTGTGAGTATTGTCTAGTTCACGAGACGTGCTTGAAAGTAAGGAGATCAGCAAGTAGCCCACATGGATACGGAAGATCGGAGTATTGTCGTATTGGTGACAACTGTCTTTCTGCACGCTTGATAACAACCTCACCCAGGTAAATATACTCTATTCTCGCGAACATGGTTCAATTTCTGATAACTCAATCAAGTACGGAATCTTGAACAAGTCCAAGCAATAAGAGATAAAATTTTCCGCAACGGTCAAGCGGCTATAGCGATTTTTCACTTCGTATGCTGGCTGTTAACCCGGCCTCGGTCATCATGGCGGCGTCCCCGATGAATCGCAACAATAGGCGAAAATCCATGCGATCCGCAGTTCAGCGTGACAGCTGGGACAAAACCCCCGAGATCTGCGGATCTCCCTCGCCTAATTAGGCTTGTAGATGCTTATCTGGCCATCATGTACAATGCCGACATGACGTATACCTCTCATCGGAGTGGCCGGATAGGCCAAAGCTATTTCCAGACTCCAGAGCCGTGAGCAGTGGCTTTCGAGAACATTCTCCTTCGCAGTCCAGGAAAGTCTAGAGAACGCCTCAGTCTTCATCGCAAGCGTGAAGGCAGACTCACCGTCCCAATAAAAGGTGGAGGGAAGATATATCGACGACCTCGATGCGTCTATCAGCCTCTAGGCACCCATCCACCCCGCCCCTATCTCGTCGAGAGATGGACCTAGATTCAGAAGATCCGTTTTGAGGCGAAACGTGCTCCTCCATTCCATCACTATGCTCCGACGCAACGAACTCGACCGGCCCATATCCTATTCACCACAGTATGCGGAAAGTGACACAGGCTACCATCGCACGCCCTCGCTGTAGCTTGGCTGATGTGACCTGTCCACCGTCGCGCTGTCGACAAGGCTCCACGATAGGACCTGCCCGGCCGACCGGACTAGCTCTGGAGGACAGACCACTTGTACAATTCTGTCGGAAATCCCGTCACCACGATGTAGCAGGAAAGTATCAGGGCGTCGTCCGAATCAATAGCATGCTGAGACTAGGCTTTCAGTTCATTCCCAAGTGCAGGAAGTGCAGAAATCCGCTCACCTGTGCAAGGACGAATATCTCAAACCTAAACGACGATACGACGCACATGTGGCCTCGCACTCATCGATTCTCCCTTGATCCTCATTCCCGCTCAATGTGTGGTGGACAGGCCAGGATATCGATGGCACGGGAGTTTTCATCATCGACCCGTACACTCGGATGCACGCTCCTACCGACGGCACAAGCATCTCGTTCGTCTGCGCTATAACGTCTTCGCCGGTCGACAACCGCGATACGGGAGACGGTACAGCTGAAGAGCGTCCCGGTCGGAGCTAGACAGGCCCGAAGGTCCAGTCGCGCATATATTGGGCTTTGTGCTGGTGGAGTGTCAAATGGAGACCGTCGAAAGGGTTGTAAGAGCGACTTGCATGTGATGGGGGAAACGGTGTTGACTCTCAGCAGTCCGGTGTCCACAGCCGCTTACGAATGGTGCACTATTCATGCCACTAGCTGCTCTCTCTTCGGCGTTCTCCAAATCCCCTGGTGAGTGCGTTGCAGATGCATATATGCGCCGTGGCTGGTACGATTGGGCGGCCCGATGAACATGGCACCCGGTGCCCAAGACCCTTCTCCATGGGTACGTCTGACAGCACGTTGCCCACGACTAGTTTCCTGACGGCCCCTTGCAGCACAGAGACCTCCGATCGTGTCACTGCCGCATGTGGAAGTAATGCGAAGCTGCCGCTTGGCGAAGAGGGATGAGAGCCTGAGATCGTGTGCCATGAGGCACGAGTCAACTGTGAAGGATCCCGTGCGAGACTGAGTGCGTACATTTGGTGCTCGTGGACTGGAAGAGGAGGAATCTCACGAGCGCGATGCTGGCGGATTGAAGTGGTGTATTTGTAACAGTGCAAAGGCTGCAAAGGTGTGGCAAAGTCAGAGTCAGACAGACCCCCCAGTAGTGTCACTCGTGACAGCGGAGTCTATTTGCAACTAGATATCTGTTTCCACAGGTGAAAGGATATAAATCATTGCGGTGCCTGTTTTTCCATTGGAAAATTGTCATGATCCCGGTAGGAAGCTTACAGATCCTCTGCATGCCATATCCTTTCATTTATCTCTCTCACTGAGGGAGTGAAAATTCATGCGGGCGCGCCATGACGTCTCGCACCATGCTAGTACACAAATGCGAAATTCCGCTGATTGCGATTTTAGAAACCAAGAAAACTGGACGAATCAAAGCAAATAGCTCGAAGACACTTGAAGCACGAGATACTGGAGAAGCCCGTATATGCAAAATATTAAACTCATATATTATATTTGTTTGCTCATTTAATTATATTTCTCATTTTGAGGTGACTGGGAAATATGCACCGAAATATCAACCCATATGTATATTTAATGATAATTTTCCTTTTGAGGTAGCTCGGATATCAGCAGGATCTGTAGCGTTCAAAAAGACCTGTTTCACTAGGGAGCATGCTGCTCGTATTTGACCACGTCCAAGCCAGTGCACATGCTGAAAACTTAGTCAGATTGCCGTGCACTGTCGGCGAAAAAAAATTTGCTAGTGATGAGCAAGCATAGAGGTGAGTAATGATAGAAGTCAACCTATTTCCTCACTGGGGAACCGGCTCATCGCTGACGAATTTATCTCTTCTGCGGATCCCGAGCTCCGCCGGTGGCCCATATGGCCATTAAATTCAGCCCGCCAGTTTCCGGTCTCTGCACATATACTCGACCCACTATTCGGAAGATTAGAGACTTCACAGATTAGCCCGTAGTCCCACTCGATCCGAGCATGTAGGGTTTAGCGGCAGAGTTTGCAGCCAACATGCGCCTTCGAAACCATGTATTGAAAGCACAAACATTGGATATCCGGCTCACGGATCTCTTTCCGTCGGCTATTCAAAGAAGTTTGTTCGCTAGAGAACTCAACGCAAACATCCCCGAAGAGTATTTTAAGGGAATCGATGCGATACACTCCCGTACTTGAAATGTGGAGAAGTAGTACCGATTAAAAAAATACGAATAGTAATATTCTGCACACTTCACAACTGGAGCTCCCCAGTCGAGCGGGCGTTGTTCGAACCCGTTTTCCACTGAAATACCACTCATTGGACCTTTGATTTAGTCGGAAGCGGTCCACTCAGAGTTCGCATGGAAATTCCTGGGGGCTTCGTGGAGCAACCAATGATGATCTTGAAGTTACCGGCGCAGCATGCTCATTTCACCAGGGTTACACTGAAGTTCTATCCTGTACATAGCCCGAATAGACACCGCAACGAGTTCCTCCGAATCAATAATAGCAGCCGAGTCATACCGTTCCACCGGGCAAGTCTCTCCCGATCTCTCGTGTGGCATGAAGTCGTCATTGCGCAGGGGATCATTCTCCATAAGGCTTGGCGACATGTCAATTTCTTTCGGTACCGAAACAGCGCGTTCTTTCGGTGCCGAAATCACGGGCTCTCGAACGTCTTCCGAAACGAACGAGAAAGCCGGGGGCGGAGGTGATTCCGTATCATGATATCATGAGCCAACCGGTGTCACGTGGGTGTTACCTCCACATCACAGGCGTTCCTCAGGCGCTCTTTCTCCACTCTGTCTACCCCCGCATATCTTCCCCGATTTTTTGTCGTGCACTGGCTCCCTTCCACCCGGAAAACATGAGCTGGCTCTGCTGCCTTCCAAAACACGCCAATTCTTGTTCCGGAGGACACATTCTTCCCTAATTTCCACCTGTGTCTCCCGTTCTCGGTGTCTATACTTGTCATAAACAAGGCCAGATTGGAGTGGCGACATACGTCGTGCGCGCTGGAACTCACTGAACCCTTTAGCCTCTTTGCATAATTACCAATCAGTCAGGACAAGCCACACAAGACTACATACTGCGGCGGACACATCGTGAGTCTTCCTGCGATACACCGCGCAAGCGCTTACTCCCCGCGAGGAACCCCTCTCGTTCCTCACTCGACCGCTCACGTTCCTGCATTGGTCCCGTCTCTCTGACCGCATCGACCACAAACCCGTTCTCCTCGTCGGTCTCTTGAGCCTAACGTTCTCGATGATCTCGTTCAGCATGTCCCCTTCGTATCGGGTGATCGGGTTCTTCCCTTCCTCGCAGGCATCATGAAAAGCAACGTCGGGGTAATCCACAGAATGATGGGTGCTAGGAGAGGGCAACGTCGTACAGGCGATGGCGTTGATGCTTGTGATTCGGGCTACAGGTGCTACCATCGGGTGCGTCTGGCTGCCTTGGCTTGACGAACGCTCTAACGGAGAATACATAGTCCCATGAACGGAGGACTCGTTGCCAACCCATACGAAACCCGCCCCAACACGTTCGGGAAATTTGAGTACCGGATAACGTACCCCTACGCTTTGCCGTGCTTGGTCATTGCCTTCTTTTGCATCTTCTCATGGGCCTAGGCTTTCTTCTCCCTCCAAGAGGCAAGTAGCAGAGCCGCTGACATACTACCTGCTTGCTGACACATTCGATGTAGACTGAAACCGCGCCGTGTCGCTACCTCCGACGGGACAGTCCCAGAGCACAACGACCTCCCATTCCGCGGACTGCTCATTCGCCGTTTCATCACCGCGGCGTCCAACCGATGACTTGCTACTTGCACCGTTCGATATGTCACTGCGAGTGCTACAGCCATTCTTCCTAACTATCCTCGTTATCGGCGGCTTGGGATTCACTATCACTATCCTCCTTTTGTGCTTCGGCACGTTTGAGTTGTTCAGAGGATCTATCAAGCGACAGTGTTTTCTCTGTGCGACCGTATTTGGGACCAAAAATGTTTTCGTCGCCGCCGCGGACACTTTCTTCCTCATGTTCCTGCTCTTTCCGCTTATGGATCTGTCGGTGCTGCAGGAGGGTTGTGTCAACGGCTTGACGTGAAGGAAGTCAGTTCTTCAGGCGGTGTTGCATACTATCACGGACATGAAATCCAGTGCGTTCCCTCCTTACGCAACGACGAATTCATGCGATTGACCTTGCATTCAGGCTGTGCGTTCATCTGCGTCCGGGCTGCCGCGCCGAACCAGCATTCACTCGGCGTCTCGAACGGGATCGCCAAGACGTGCGTCGTGCGCGATCGTTGTTCTCCCCGTCACCGGGGAGAACATGGTTGGCGGATCGTTCGTTCATTTGGCCATGGCCATGCTCTCGGCGTTACCTCCTCCTAGTCCTACGGCGTTCCTTCCGAAGACGCTCCGGCGATTTGCACACGACCAGCAAACTAGTAACGAGCCTTCGAGACGTGAACAGCTCTAGGAGTACATGTGCCAGCCAGCAGTTCAGATATCTTACTTTCACATCTGTCCTCATCTGGCATCGTTTCACGACTGGACACCACTTACGTATCGCTCATTTTCGGGCTTACTTCGCACCATCTCTTCTGCTCTGTTTGCCCCTCCTCTGAATGTCTCTTACGAGGAAGTCCATCTGATACTTTCATTTCAATCATCGCATGCCTTGACTGCAAAAACTAGAATACTGTTATCCTCCCACACGATCAGAGATAGCGCAAAATTTGTTGTGTACACGAATTGAAAGGCAGATGGTAACAGGACCCCAAAACACTTTTGCGCGCTTTCCAGTCTGTTCAAGACAATACCGCACGACGGAGGAGATTCGGCACACCTTCCCCATATGGCAGTTTCAAAACAAGGAATAAAATTCAGACGGTGTTATCTCAGAGTACTTAGCATGGCGCGTGCATATCAAAGTCTTGAGAACCATCCACATATGCCGCAAGAGTTTCAGAAACTAGTGAGGCGACATGAACCGCCTCAAGACTTCTCCCATTGAAGGAGCGGAGGAACTTACGACAGAATCAGCGCACGGCAAGTACTAACGCGCGGCACGTACCAACGCGTGGCTTCGTCGCACTCAGGCGGCGCGTGATACTAACCCCGGCGCAGTTGAGGAAGACGATCCTGATCATGAGCCCGACAGCGGACAGCCAGATGTCCCGGTTCCCCGTTGTCTGTTTCGAGCAGGCGGAGAGGTCGAAGTACGGCGAGGAAAACGCGTGGATATAGCGCGGCACGAGGAGCCAGCCCAGGACGCTGATCCACCCGCAAACACCCTCGCTGGCGACGACGAGGGAGCAGCTGGGAGCAGTCAACATCCACGCAGATTGATGCGAGCTATTCCTCGATGGTGAATCGTGGTGAAGATCTGACCCATGCGGCAGAACTAGGTCCCTATGTAATAAAATGAGATCGGATCTTGATATGGCACGAATAGACGATCAGTGCGGCATACTTCGCGTTACCGTGACTTTCGCTGAGGGAAGACGCACTGAATCTACTGAGGAAGCGGATAATCGCACAGAGAGGAGTGCGCTCCACCCGTGTTTCCGCGATTACAAAAAAAACGGCTCACAGTGAAAACGCTCTGATCCGCGATCAACCGGCGCCCGAAAGACGACTAGTGTCCGTGATCAATGATCCTCCGGTCATCTGGAGATCGATACCGGCATGAGGACGAACCTAATATTCCAGATTTATGTACCGTCGCACGAGCGATCAACTTTGCGCAACCTCACACGACACTCGGAAGTGCAGCCGGGACGGACATACCTCACTGCGCCGGGAGGCATAACCGACAAAGCGTCTCGTAGGGCATCGCAGGCTTTTGGGTCATCTCGGAACCTCCGTTGTCCTCGAAGAGCAGATCCCTTCCTGCTTAAGGAACTGTTGGAGGAATGATTCGGCGCAAATTCGGCCAACAACGAGCTAGAACACGTCAGCATGACATCTGCCGGAATATCGGTATAAATCCACCCTCAGGCGACCCCGTGTCGTGAAGCCCGCGTCCGTCAGAGTCGACTCTGTCACCGGGTTTTCAGGCGCGAATACCTTGATTCGGGGAGATTTCCTTGAATCCTCTGCAACGGTAAAACAAGAACAGAATGTAAGAATCGTTCGCGCCGATCTGGGCCGGTATCACCAGACGAAGTTTCGAGAGGCGTTCCTACGTAAATGATTCCGACGCAACGCAAGTCCTGACTGTCACAATTAGAGTAGGCTCGGCAACTTGCATCCATACTAAGGTCGACGACAAAGGACATGGTCTGTTTTAGGAAAGGATGATCGTGATGCAGAGTCGGGGTCTCAGTGTCACATTGTTACGGTGTCATAGTCATGTCATCACGTCTGCATAACATGACCGTGCCGTCACGTGTTCCAGTAGACACGACGCGTTCCCTGATTCGGGATGCGCACGGACGCGTTCTAACTGATAATATTGGCTCGATACTGGTGGAGGTGCGTGGAAAATATCAAAATAAAAGAGTAAATCGAAAGAGGAAGAAGTGGAAGAGGGGATGAAATCGGAACAGTTTGCCCCGATCACAGTCGATGTCGGAAGCGTCGGCGTTTGGATGCCGGCGGCACAGCAACCACGTGTTAGCAAAAAAAAAAGTGCTGTGATCTGTTCCTCGAGCTCAGAGGCCACTAACACTTGTTCCATTTTTCACAATAACTCCTTAGAATGGCACTAGAAAAATTACATGATTTTCCCTCTGGCAGGAGGCTCATCACAAGTGCCTTATGTTATCTAGCGGAGTTTGAAGCTACCTCGCGGATCAGAAGCACCAAATTAGAGGACATAGTCTGCAATATAATTGCCCTGCCGAATCTCTGATTTCAGCCGTTTTTTCGCATATCGGTCCGTCAGAACTGACCATAAATGAAATATTTTTGAGACATCGCCAGCAGATTGGCCTGGTCGTACCTCCACTTGCACCTCCTCCGAGGCCAGGAGCTATATACTGAGTTCATATTTCAAGAGAAGGGCAGGGGATTTCCCCTGAAAGCGGCGCAAGCCGAAGGGCTCGAGCGCGCCGCCATCAACGACGAGCACGCTTATGACGTCGGGAACGGTCATCAGAGGCTTCCAATAAGCATATACATGTCCTCGAGTCACGGAGTGCCAGGACCCCAGCACACCCGATCGATCTATCAGTCGAAACAGACCATGTCCTTTGTCGTCGACCTTAATCCATACGGTCCAATCACCACCGAATGCCCACATTCCACCGAGAGGGACGTCACCGGACAACGGCCGGACACACTCGAATCCGTTCGGATTCGGAGTCGGAGTCGGTGGAATTCTAGCGCCGAGAGGGATATCCCAAGACATCTCTCTCATTGATTGTGTTCGAGCAGATCGACATCAGATCTTGGTTCGTAGCGATGAACGAGTAATCATGTCTCGTCACCCGGGCCGTGCGAGACATGTAAGGAAAGAGGGTTTGAGAGGAGAAACGACGCACCGTAAGCCGCATCGTGGGAGATATCACCAGTATCGGGTCCTTCACTTCAGCCAGTATGCAGTCTTGCACAAGACATACGAGTCACGGGCTCTGGCATTCGACGCCGATGAAATCTGCTTCGACTCCGAACAGGGCAACTGCGTCTCGAACGTTGTCCGCGGGGAGGCTGTCGCGAGCAAAGGCAACAGATACCCTGCCGTAGTCGAAGAGGCTGGGATCGTGAATTGTGAGTACGGATGGTCTGCGTACCTGGACCGTGTGCTCACCGCCGCCGCTTTCCTAGTGACGCTCCACACACAACTCACGAACACCCTGACCGAAAATCTCGCACGCAACATCATCGACAGGACCCACGGTGCCTTTGCGCGCATCGACTCTGCGCCTGGAGGCAACGAAACCGCCAAAGGCGCCCTCAGAACAGCTCACCAGGTGACCGCCGTTGTCTGCATCCGAGTCATTAACCCGTTCTGAAACACCACACACAGTACTTCCGGGAGCTGGGCCAGGCTCACTGCGTGAACTAAATTATGCCCAAGTGCCCTTACCACGGGCTGTCCCTCACTGAACGTCGCGTGGAACGCCCCGCGCGCAGCCCGTCATGCGCCGTACAACGGCGCCCTCGACAGCAAGCACTTCCAGACGTGTCCCCTACCTGTGGCTGTCGCTACAAGCTCGAGGGAGAGTCGGATAGTGCGTCAAACACCTGCGGGCTGAGCTCGAGTTCACGTTCATCGTGCGTGGTCGAGACACCGTGATTGCATGTAAGCAGCCCGTCCTGAAACATCAGAACCGTGGCCTGACGGACCCTCAACCGTCCCCAGAAACCGTCAGTTGATCCAGCTCTTACCGCGATCAGCTTCAGCGGCCGTCCTGGATGGGCTCGTGGTTGCCAGAGCCAGCTTTGGAGTCTTCATCCCTCCGAAAGGGTACTTGGCTGTCTGAGAAAAGTACGGGGCACACCAGCTCCTCGTCGACCAGGTCATTTACGGAATGGGCCCGTGCGTATCAGCTTTCATTCGTCCATTTCCGCTTACTCACAGCATTCAGGTGAGGATACCCTTCAAGCTCCCAACCTCACGATCGGCGGTGCGGTGATCTCGCCGCTCGTCGTTCAGGTGCTGAGTTAATATTACAGCCACTGGTAGCGCGTTTCACACACCGAGCATACCCGCCTGTCACGCAATATCGGCCGCTATCCAGCGCGTCATAATCGGCAAGAAGTTGGCGGAGGACTGCACGATGCCGGCCGATTTGCTCGATCGGTACCAGAGAGCGGACTGGGGGCCGACGAAGCACTGGCGAAGAACTACGTGGCCACACTTCATGGTGCTGGCCTCTTCTGGCCTGCTGGGCTCCAAACTCGACTAGTACTCCCGATAGTACGGGGTTGTCGATTCGTGTTTGTGGCCGGGAAGCGGTGCTTTCAAGCTGGACTGGCGATGGCGCGCATGATCCATAGTGCACATATGGAGGAGAACCTAGGAGGACCACACCGTGTTTGCACGGATGTTGGGCCGACACAGACCTACCTTTTTTTGGACGCTGCGGCGTCTTGCCGATGATGATTAAACGATGATTTGTGATAGCGCGGAGAGCTACCGTGCGTCACGTGAGCGCCATGAGGATCGACACGCAAGTCCGCGAGGGCTATCAACAAGTTGGAGGGCCAACAGAAATGAATTGTACATATCAATGCATGAAATTCAGTGGATGTGGACTTCTGAGATTTGTGTGGACTACTCATATATACTGTAGGCAAGGATTATCTTGAAGACAGTAGAGCAAACAAGCTGACAGTAGTACTCGCTCAGTAAGCCTCGTAATGGTAAGCAATTGATAAATAAGATGCTGTGATATTCTACAGCAATGCATACATTGTAAACTAAGACAGCTTCAACTATGGTCTATTGAGTGCTATATGTTGACAATGACTCATTGCGATTGCATGTTGATGACGTCCATCGGTGCACGTGGCATATTGATCTTGTTGAATCGTCTGACAACGTCACAACACCCGGCCCGGACATCATTGATATTGCACCGTCACTACTCCCAATCTGTCCTTTGTGTCTCAGAACAATCTTATCTCCGCCTCATCCCGTCTAACCTCTTATCAGTGACTTTGCACTATTCACAGGTATCTTCTGACCTGCTACGCACTCTGCCCTACAATAAGAGCGCAGCCAGGGCAGTACATCCTTTGTAGCCCCTGAAGTCTCACATGTGACTTGTGTTAGCGGAGAGGTTCCGGTCCGGGTCTGGGACTTGGATCAACTCCTATGTACGGTCACTTTATCTCCCATTTTTAGTCACATTCGCACCTCAGTTGTTTTCTCCATTGACTGACTGAGGTGCGAACATTTCCTTACCAAGTTCTCACATATCTTACTTACATACCTTAGACTAAATACCTTGTCTCATCTACAGGTACTAATAAGAGTGTCAGGGGAACCCCTGCTTTTGTCCGATCATCATGGGATCTTGCATGTGACCGCGCATGTGCCATCTGTCAGGCGTCACATGTTTCGGTCCGGACTCCCCTGCCAAGCGCGTCCACATGACACTGTGGCCCGGACCCCCATTGTTCCGACAGTCCGGCTCCCATTGTTCTCCCCAATCCGGCCCCTCATTGTCCCCTGGCCCCATTGTCTGGCGCTTCCATTGTGCTTGGTCATCCATTGTTCTGTAGGATATATATAGTGGGCCCTGACAAGGAGAGTCCCCAACTCGGTTTCTCTTTGGACTCTCCCTTGTCAGGTTTGCCAAGTCCCCTGTATTAGTTGATCCCTTTATCTGATGCTTTGGACTCTGCCTTGTCAGGACTCTGAGATCGGGTCTCGAGGTTGCCCTTACAACAACAGTACAATCACCAATATTTGGTTGTCTGGCCGCTTCTTTGAGCGCCTTTGCACATGAACCAGAGCCCGATGGAGGCCTTTGCTTGCCTTTTCTTCTTCTTACATGACTTGTCCCCTTCCAATGTCAACGCACTTATTGATTCTTACATGCCAACATCGCCCAATGACTCTGACAAAGAATCAGCACGACCTACAAGCTCCGATGATGAGGTTCCCTCTCTCATCTCTATCGGATTGTGGCCTTTGTTGCACAATGAAGATTCTCCCCCTCTGTATAGCAACGAGAATTACACAGGATCCAACAAAGACTTGGATATGCTGCACGTCTAGAGCAATGAGTAAATTTTTCTTTGAGACTCAGTCTCATCAAACTTACTATCTTTTAGTATGATTTCTGATGACATTCTCATGACATTTCATGTAATTGATAATCTCCCGGGAGTCTCCCATTCCATTCACATACTCTGTACCATCACGTTAGTTACGATTGATCTATATGTGATCACATCGAGGCTGGGAGGGCTATGTCATGGATATGTTGAAATCTTATCCTCAATATGATCATCAGAATGATCGAAGATATTGATGAGATCAATCATGAGGATTACTGCACCGCAGTCTCCTCTGCAGTATCAATCCGCAGTACTAGTTAGTTTAGAAGGAAGCCTCTCTCCTGTTGTGGGGGGCACCTATCTTTGAATATATCTTTTACCTCCCAATTTAACATGTGTGCGTGAACACTTATTGAGCTCGGCCTCAATCACACCTCAGTTACCACCGCCATCACGCGGTTCTCCCCCCGCGGGGTACCTACTGGGTACCCTCAGACGTCTTGCTGAGGGTACCCAGTAGGTACCCCCTGGCGGGGGGTGGGGGGGCCATTTAGTCGATTTAGTAGCGGGGGCATATGCGGGGGTCAGGAGGAGGGGGGGTGTATGTAGCATGTGACTTGTCCATAAGAGCGGGTAGCTGGGCGGGAAAAAAAAATCCAATCACATGACACGCTGCATGGGCGGGATGGCGGGATAAAAAAATCACGTGATGCGCTGCACAAAATATTACCAAAATGCTGGCAGGGGTTGGCGGCGTCATTGGCGGGGTCACTACCACCCCCCCGCACACCATGGCGGGCAGTGGGCACATTATCACGTGACTTTTTGGGCACCTTTTTTGCAGCATTTGGCATGATTTGGGAGATGCTGCTTGATACATTGCATGCTGTGGCAGACAATGGGCGCAAAATCACGTGCTTTTCCGCCAAAAAAATGGAAGACTCCCCAAATCATCCCAGTATAATTTCCATAGGTAAATAGGCTAGTTAAACATGAACTTGAGCTTAGAAAAACCAAAATGCACCCTGCACAATGGGATTGGTGACACACTTGATCCCATTATTTGGCAGGGCCTGCCGCAGGGGCTGCCGTGGGGGGTGCCACGGGGGGTGCCACGGGGGGTGCCGCAGGGGGTGCCGCGGGGGGTGATGCGGGGGCTGCCCCAGGGTTGGTCTGTTATGATCCATTTTTGTTCATTGAAGATCTTGTAGAGGTGAGCAGGGCAACAGGCCAACTGGGAATTTATAGGAAGACATTGAAATTGATGCAGGGGTCAGATGCAGGGCCCACTGCAAGGTCTACTGCAGGGGCAGGGGTGCATTATATCAAATTTCGATGTATCTATTCTGGCCATGGACATAGAATGTCACATAATTATCCTTCAATTTGGCAGGGGTTTCTTGGTATGGTCTGCGGCTAAAGGCATTTGATTCCCTTGTGCTTTAGCAGAGGCTGGGATATTGAAAACATGCAATAGCACCTGTATAATCTCTCTATGTAGGGTCAAATACAAGTTATGACTTGGTACATTTGGGCATGGTCTGCTAAAGCTATTAGGTCAAATTTAATGTTTGAAAAATGTGCAACTTGATTTGTTTGGCAAATCCCCCAAGGGAGTTTTCCATGTGCAGCCAAATTGATCACCAGGAATAGCTACTGCTCCTTGTCCCTGTCTGTTTGCTTCAGATAGTCTGTCTGCTCCCAAATATTCCTCTCCATTTTCAGGATATCTGATACAGGTGTTAGGATTGTTGATTGATGGATTTCATATTCCTTGTCTACACACCATGTAGACACTTTAATGGATGTGATAATACTGTGAACACTAACAATGGATTAAGCAGCACTTTTGTCCATCCAATCCTTGCAGGGGCTGGGGCAGGGTTGATGGTGGGGGCTGCCGCGGGGGGTGCCCAAGCCTCTGCCAGCCTACCCAATGTGGATCAACTACAGGATCACTTTCTGCAACCCAAGTGACTCCCAGGTTACCTTTACCCAATTCCAGTGACACAACTTGCCTGCTCTTGTTTCTGGCCGACAATTGATTTTATAAGCTTGAGTGTGTATGTGCACTTTTTGGTGGGAAAGGAGGCCATTTGGTGAGGGGTAGGGCACCGAAACATTGTCAAATACCACATTGAACATGACCAGTGGCTTACATCTCTTCAAACTGGCCCCTATCTCATGTTTATCAAGACCCTATTTTTCGGACCCATTTCAAGTTTTTGAATGGTTCCAGGGTCCAGGGCTCTCAGAATTTGTTTCAGACACTGCCAAGGGGTATATCATTCAGCTGTGTTGAGTTTCTGAAGCAAACAGACAGGGACAAGGAGCAGTAGCTATTCCTGGTGATCAATTTGGCTGCACATGGAAAACTCCCTTGGGGGATTTGCCAAACAAATCAAGTTGCACATTTTTCAAACATTAAATTTGACCTAATAGCTTTAGCAGACCATGCCCAAATGTACCAAGTCATAACTTGTATTTGACCCTACATAGAGAGATTATACAGGTGCTATTGCATGTTTTCAATATCCCAGCCTCTGCTAAAGCACAAGGGAATCAAATGCCTTTAGCCGCAGACCATACCAAGAAACCCCTGCCAAATTGAAGGATAATTATGTGACATTCTATGTCCATGGCCAGAATAGATACATCGAAATTTGATATAATGCACCCCTGCCCCTGCAGTAGACCTTGCAGTGGGCCCTGCATCTGACCCCTGCATCAATTTCAATGTCTTCCTATAAATTCCCAGTTGGCCTGTTGCCCTGCTCACCTCTACAAGATCTTCAATGAACAAAAATGGATCATAACAGACCAACCCTGGGGCAGCCCCCGCATCACCCCCCGCGGCACCCCCTGCGGCACCCCCCGTGGCACCCCCCGTGGCACCCCCCACGGCAGCCCCTGCGGCAGGCCCTGCCAAATAATGGGATCAAGTGTGTCACCAATCCCATTGTGCAGGGTGCATTTTGGTTTTTCTAAGCTCAAGTTCATGTTTAACTAGCCTATTTACCTATGGAAATTATACTGGGATGATTTGGGGAGTCTTCCATTTTTTGGCGGAAAAGCACGTGATTTTGCGCCCATTGTCTGCCACAGCATGCAATGTATCAAGCAGCATCTCCCAAATCATGCCAAATGCTGCAAAAAAGGTGCCCAAAAAGTCACGTGATAATGTGCCCACTGCCCGCCATGGTGTGCGGGGGGGTGGTAGTGACCCCGCCAATGACGCCGCCAACCCCTGCCAGCATTTTGGTAATATTTTGTGCAGCGCATCACGTGATTTTTTTATCCCGCCATCCCGCCCATGCAGCGTGTCATGTGATTGGATTTTTTTTTCCCGCCCAGCTACCCGCTCTTATGGACAAGTCACATGCTACATACACCCCCCCTCCTCCTGACCCCCGCATATGCCCCCGCTACTAAATCGACTAAATGGCCCCCCCACCCCCCGCCAGGGGGTACCTACTGGGTACCCTCAGCAAGACGTCTGAGGGTACCCAGTAGGTACCACGCGGGGGGAGAACCGCGTGATGGTGGTGGTAACTGAGGTGCTCAATCAATACTACATAAAACCATTTGTTGCGTTACTAAACCAACGATCTCGACTCTATCTTCTTGCTTAGACCATACAGATTTTGCTAGACTTCCCTATTCTAAGTACATGTTATCTATCAGGTAACCCTGTCACGGAAGGAAGAACTGACTGTATCAAGGTCTTTGTACGCATTGTGTTATCTGACTACAACACTAGATCAGAATAAAACTGAGAACTACCAGTTTTGCTAACAAGATGCTGAGAGACAAGGGTGTCAGTATCTGGCATTGGCTGATGCTGGTAGTCCACAGTGGTTCATAGACAGACTACACAGGTAACCCGGATATTGGTCCTCAGCGCCCATGATGTGGACCAAAACAGGTAGTCCACGTGCGTCGAACCGTCTAGCCCATCATCACCCATGCTCGGCTACTGATCGGTCCCACGCGCCCACGTGATGACTACCTGCCCTGGCAATGCAGTTTATGCTCTGATATGTGACATATCAGGTCAAGTAAGTTTTTCAGTGACAAAAGATGGAATAGAATTCAATCTCTATGGGCCATGTTACGTGTGATCCCCGGTGTGAATAGTACGGTATTAAAAGCAAATCTTATCGAAGCGATCCTCGTCACATGATCTATGTCGCAGACATGACACCTTCAGCCCACTACCACCTGAGGCTTCCAGCCGGTCACCAGCTATCTTTTCGGCTGGAGTTGACAGCTGGCTGCCAGCTTGTCGCCAACTGTCCACGAGATTTTAAGACCTGCGTACAGCTGGGGCCTCCAGCCAGCCAGCCACCAGGTGAGGGGAGTTTGTCAGTGAACTTGATACATATATGCCATGTGTTTGAGCCACGCGGAGCATTGGGATATTCCAGTCGCCAGGTCTCGTGAACTACTCCGGGGAGAAGTATGAAGCCCGATCCTGACGTGTGCGAACTGCCGACCACCAACACCGTGCGCTTCGTCATCGCGACTCAGGAGCGCCCGACTCGGGTAGCGTCGCATCATCGAGCGGTGTTCCTTCGTGTTGCATCGGTCGACGTGGTGAGCGTCCAAGCGAACGGCGACGTCGGCGGTGGACGCAACAGAAACAGACCGCGTTCGCAAGATGAGAGAAGAACAGTTGATATACATTGTGTCACGAGAACATTCTATGCTGGAGATAACCCTAGAAGAAATAATACATTTTATGAGGCCGACTGAGCGGCGAGCAACCCTCCGATCCACCCAGCGAGCTTGGAGGCGTTGTCTCCAATCCACGCACCGGCATGCTCCCCCTCGACTCGCTCGACGGACATCCCTGAATATGCCGCCTTCCAGCGCTCGTCGACCTCGTCAGTTGCCGCAGCGACATATAGCGCAGAGGTGGTATGGGGTCCAGACGGTAGCCAGTCGGCCATCGCCTTCACGTTCTTCTCGTACGTCCCGGCCAGCGCACGGATATCGCTGCCATGCCGAGCGGCGAACGCCGCAAGATCGAGGGTCGCCTCCTCGGCAGACAGCGCAGGCCTCGACTCCGCAGAGTACACGTTGCGAACGAACGCATCCGCAGTCAGCAAGACGTCTGCGGAGGTGGATCCTGGGAACGGACTGTCGATGAGGGCCACCGCCCGCACTTGGATTCCGGCTTCTTGCATCGGGCCCAGCATCGCCGTCGCGACCAGACCACCGAACGAGGCACCCACGAGCACGACATCGCGACAAGTGGGCGGCATGTCCTTCACGTATCTCCTGGCGAGGTCGTCGATCCCACAGTCAGCTTCGATCCCGTGGAGCGCAGGGTGATCGAGCGCCATGATCGTTGAATCTGCCGGCAAATGACGCGCCAGCGCAGCATACGACAGGCAGCTGCCGCCTCCTGGCGCGATGAGAACGTACGTCGTTCCCGTCGGAGCTTGTTGCAGGAACGAGATGTAGGAGGCAAGCGATGCACTGATCGACGCCACAATGGACTCGACCGTGCACGATGGGTCGATGAACGCCGAGAGACTGCAGGGATTCGGTCAATGCCCGAGAGACGAGTTCTAAATGAAGGAAGGCACGCACGGGATATGGCACCCTGCTTGCTGCAGCTGATGCAGGAGCGCCATCTGGCCTCGACTGTCCAGCCCGGCATCCCTCAATACTGTCGTGGAGCTGATCTCGTTCGTGCCGAGGATAGATCGAACGTGACGGAGCACGAGATGACCAGCCGACGTGGCATCTGGCACACTCGCTTTCGGACTGGGCACCTCGATCGACACGTCGACTGGACCTTTGATGGACGTCGCCTCGACCGACGCCTTTCTTTTGTGCTGGGCGGGGGGGAATGCCAGCACGCAATGGGCGTTGACGCCGCCGAGACCCGTGCTCGATGCACTGAGCAGGGCGTCGGGAGACAACCGCACGGGATTCTTGGCAAACGAGATCTTCAGCGTCGGGTCGATGACCGGGTTCGGCTGCTCGAAGGACTGCAGCGGGGGAACCACGCCATGTTGGATGGACTTGACGAGCTTGATCACAGAGACCAATCCAGATGCAGCCTGAGAAGGGGTTTGGATCTGTCAATACGAGACGGAGATCAGGTCCCGCACCTCGCAGTTGCCCAGATTCCCCTTGTTCGATCCCACAATGTACGGCGTCTTCTCGACCCCGAGTTCTCGTCGGGCCATCTTCAAGCCCTCGAGCTCCAGTGCGTCGCCGATCGGTGTTCCACTGCCGTGCAGTCTGTGCAAAACATTAGCGGAGTTGACATGCGCAACCTGGATATCCAACACCCACTCCGCATAGACCAGCTTCCCTGCGCTGACACCCGCATCCATCCACGCGCCCTTCACGCTCTGCGCCTGTCCTCTCGGGCTGGGAACAGTCGGTCCTGCTTTCCCAGGCTTCCCGTCTGAGCCGACGGCCATCCCCTTGACCACAGCGTAGATATCGTCCCCGTCGCGGACAGCGTCGCTCATCCGCTTGAGCACCAGCGCACAGACTGCGTCTCCCGGAAGCGTGCCGTCGGATCGCGAGTCGAATGGTCGGCAGTGCCCAGAAGGCGAGAACAGGCGTGTCGGCGCAGTGAGATATCCCGCTCTGCAAACGGTGAGTGCTTTTGCCGGCGGCGATAAGTGTTTTCGGTACGCACTGCGGGAATGCAACCGACACTCCACCCGCCAGTGCGACATCGCACGTCTTCGAGCGGAGATTGTCGACTGCCAACGACATGGCGACCATTCCGCTCGAACAGGCGGTGTGGAGCGTCACGTTCGGGCCCTGCAGGTTCAGATGGTAGGCCGTCAACGCCGACAGACAGGGCGTCAGCGCCTCTCGGTGCGCATGGTGGAACGCATCCTCGTCTGGCTTGCCTAAGAACAAGGTCAGTTCGCTGATCTGAAATGCGATGCAGCACGCAACTGGGAACCCAGGTCGAGGGAGCGGCTCCCACGAACAAGCCGATCTTGTTCGGTCCGGAAGCAGGCGGAACCGCACTCGCATCCTCCAGAGCCTCTTGGGCGACGGTCATGAGCAGCTTCTGTTGCGGATCCATCTCCCTGTGGCGCTCATCAGCCGCCGCGGACCACACATGTCACGAACACTCACTCGGCCTCCTCAGCTTTGATGCCCCACCGAGCACCATCAAACTCCCAGACGTCCTTCAATGCGCCTCGATGCGGAACATACACCCCGCCGGGAAACACCTCGACTGGCGAATCCGGGCACAGATGCGTCAATGCCTCGGTCTGGTCGAGCAAGAGCTGATACAGCTCCTGGGGCGAGGACGAGCCAGGGAACCGACCGGCAATGCCGACGATGGCGATGTCTCTGCTTTCGTCTGGGCCGGCGGACTCCCTGCTAGCGACTCGCTCCTTCTTTCCAGTGGCACTCGCCCTCTTCTTGCGCGCGTTCAAAGACGGTGCGGTGCTGTGCACGGGCGACGGCACTGCGATCAACTCGGCTTGGCTCTGGATTGTCGCGTTCTGGAACAAGTCGATGAGCTGCACCCCGCAACCGGGCCAGGACCGGACGATGGACTTGTGCAGCGTCGTCATCAAGAGACTGCACGCAATGAGTCGCAAGTTCTCGGCAAGATCCCGTAGCTCGCGCACCTGTTTCCGCCCGCATCGAAGAAGCTCGCGTCCTTGGCCACCCGATCCAGTTGCAAGACCGACTTCCAGATGTTCGTCAGGCTTGAAATGGTGTCCACCTGGCTGGCTGGTGCAAGTGACTTGGTCGAGGACTGCCTCGACATCCGAGGGCCCTTCACTCTGGGAGCTGTGACCTTGGCAGGAGCACGACTTTGGACGAACGGGATAAAGTCGTCCAAGCACGGGTAGGTGAAAAGGTCGAGAACAGACACCGACAACGACCCCGACGGGAGTTGCCCCCTCACCTTCTCGATGAGCGTCTGCGCGAGCAAGCTGAGAGACGTCAGCCATCAGGGGGCAAGCACAGACTGATGACTGTTACCTGTTCCCACCGAGATCGAAGAAGCTGCTCTTCCCGGAAGGCGCTGACTTCAGCTCGAGTAGTTCGATCCAGACATTGGTCAGGTCCTGATGCGACACCGACTCGTCGGCCTGGAGCATGGTCGAATCAGCCAAGGTCGAGCTGCGGCTGGAATCCTCGAGTGAGCTCAGGTCGTCTTCGTCAGAGCTCGTGCTGATGGGTGTCGTCGCTCCGGATGGGAACTTGGCGTCCCTGATCAGCTCCTCCATGCGCAGCTTGATCACCTTGTGGTCCGTCTTGTCGCTCGTGTTCAAGGGCAGCCGCGGCAAACAATACACATTCCGCGGCACCATGTAGCTCGGCACCCGGAGCCCAAGCAGCCGCTTCAGCTCGGTCCCATCGACAGTCTGGGGCGAAACAAAGACACACAGGTCGGTGCCCGACGGAGAGGACTGGACCGAGACGCTGATGATGGACGGCATCACAGCCACAACGGTTCGTTCCAGGTCGTCCAGGTCGATCCTCGACGTCGGCGTCAGTGCAAGCATCGGTCCTTGAGCCAATCGACTCACCTGTACCCTCGGACTTTCAGCTCGCGATCCATTCTGCCCATCAGGACCACGGTCCCATCGGCCAACAGCTTCCCTCGGTCCCCGGTCTTGTACATCCGCTTGCCATTCTGGGGATGGACTGCGAATCTTTGGCTGGTAAGATCGGCCCGGTTGCGGTAGCTAGACAGGACGGATTGAGACTAGACGTTCACAGACAACACCAATGTATGCGCACCCTCGGGCCAGTTGCGGGCCGGCAAGACAGACCTCTCCGACCTCGTTGACAGCCAGCAGTCGGTCGAACGAAGGGTTGCACACAAACACCTCCGTGGGCGAATGCGGATGGCCGATGTTCGCCGCGGAGGGCGCAGCATCGCCTGGGGAACTGGGCTGAGGTCGGTGAGCCATGACGACCGTGCTGCAAAGACGTCGTCAGGATGCCGGTCAGCGGCTGATAACACAAGGACATACGCTTCAGTCGGCCCATATGCATTCTGCAGGGTGACCCTCGTCCTCCAACGTTCGATCAGGTTGTCGGGGACCATCTCTCCGCCCACACTGATGCACTCCAGGCTCTGCAATCTTCTCGACGCCGGCAGAGTCCCAAGCACACTGGGAGTGAGGTGCATATGGGTCACGAGATTCTTGTCGATGACGTCCGCGAGGTAGTCGCCGATCAGGGCCTGGGGGGTGTTACCAAAGCACAGGTTGGATCCCAGGGAAAGTGCCAGGGACCATTCGAGGACGGCCGCGTCGAAAGCAAACGTGGCGAACTGCAGCACGCGGGAAAACGGGCCGATGGGGAAATATCCGGCTGCGTGGGCGGCCGTGATCCAGTTCGAGAGGCTGCTGTGCGTGATCTCGACGCCCTTGGGCTGGCCTGCGTGAGACATTGAGCAAATCAATGCCAGACGGAGCAAGTTGCAAACATACCGGTGCTGCCGGAAGTGAAGACAATGTATGCCAGGTCATCGTCTTGCGACACATCCTCCAGATTGTCTTTCGGGAACGCGTCCAAGGTGCAAGTGTGCGTGCGCAAGATCTTGACGGTCCCTGAGAAGAGGCCCACTTCGATACCCATCCCGTCATCCACGATGAGGTCGGGCTCGGCGACCGCCATCGCACTGCGCGTCCGCTCAAGCGGGTGGCCTTGATCGGCTATAGCGTACGTCGCACCGGCCTTGAGCACGGCCAGGATCCAGCACAACGTAGAGAAGCCCCGCTTCAAGTGCAACAGCACGACATGGGTGCGGCCCATTCCCAATTGGCGCAGGGCTACAAAGACATGAGACGTCAGGGACGCGCACGAGGGACAGAAAACGGACCGTTCGCCATCTGATTCGCGCGCTCATTCATCTCTCCATACGTCATGGACTCGTCTCGCTCCGCACAACTCATGGCAAGCGCGGCGGGATTGCGATCGGCCTGGTGCTCGAACATGACATGGAAACGGCGCTTGCTGACCTGGCCCGCGTCGGTCGTGTCGATAGGCGGCAGCAGATATGGGATGCGGTTCCCCAGAAGCGGTTGGAGATCGAAGGGCGTCTCTGCCATGGCTTGGGCCACGATCCGTTCAAAGTCGACTTTGAGCGCCCCAATCGATTTCTGGTCGAACAGCGTCGGGTCGTAGATAACCTGGGACATGCTTGTGAGCTTCACGGTTGCATGACCAGCAGATGGGCTCACTCCGAGAGAGACGCTGTCAGCGGCCTCCAAAAAGCAGAAGAAGAGATCATATGGGCCCTCGACGGGGTACAGCTCACACTCCTCGCGCTCTAGCTTCGGAGACAGCGTCACCGCAACCTGCGCCCGCGGCGGCATGCAGCCCTCCTCGAGGCACGCCTGCGACAGATCCGTGAACGAGAACCGCTCATGTTTCTTCGCAGTCGACACGGTGGACGAGAGCAGGCGGAGCAGCGCGTCGAAGGTGATGGTGGACGATGATCGGATCAGCTGAGACACCGGGACCCGGATGGGGAGTGCGTTGGCGAAATGTCCCACGGTTCGATCAAGGCCCTTGGGACGGCCGCCGAACGCCACCGTCAGCGTCTGATCGCGGGACGAGCCTGCGATGGAGTGCGATTCGGTGAGGAGTGCGACCACGGCCAGCGCGACCCTGAACCACGACGTGCGATGCCGCGCGCTCCATTGCGCCAGTTGCTGCGTGACATCCGGTCAATCAACTGGAACACCGGGGAGGTAACACGCGCACGCACGTCTTTGCTGAACTCGGACCATCTCGCAATCTCACGGTAGTTCTGGGACTCGGGCACCTTGGGCACGCCTTTCCACTGGATCGACGAGGTATTCCGGCTTTGCGAGAGCCAGAACTCCTTGGCCAGCTGGAACGCACCGGATCCTCGGAACACAGACTGCACCGGATCAGAATTCATTAAGCAACGACGAATGATCAAAAAACACACCTCCATCATATGAGCCTTTTGGAAAACCTCGCCGATCGGCTTGCTCTCCTCCGCCTTCCCGTCGAGCAGACACAGGAGCTCACCACTGAGCTCGCTCATGCTCGTTCCGTCCAGGGCAATGTGATGCGCAATCACATATACCTCGATGGCGCCTTGGAGCTCGACGACGAGCCAGCGCACAGCAAACTCTTCCGACAGCGGCACAGCCTGGTGGAGCAGCTTTTGCAAATGCATTTTGGCGATGGCCGTCTTCGGCCCCGCGACGATTCGGACCGACGGCAGCGCGGACTGGGCGTCCCACTCCGCGACGAATGGGCGGGACAGCACCGACTTGTTGCCGTGGAAGGTGGACCGCAGTATTCCGTGACGCGCGGTGAGGGTCTGGATGCCTGTGATGTCCAGTGAGTGCACAGTCCGAGGCTGAGATCGCCGATGTCCTCACCCGCTAGAACTTTCTCCATCGAGTAGGTGTCCGAGGATGCCAATGTGAATTTCATTGTCAAATTGTACAGGGTGTGCTGTGGCTGAGCAGAGTAAGCCATCCAGATCCCCTCTTGAGCCCTGGTCATGGGGTAGACGGAAGTCACACTGGCATCGAGTTCGGTACGTGGAGAGTGGGTGGGAGGAACCACAGGGCCAGTGATGAGCTGCATTTCGTGCGGAAGCGCTTAGCCAGTAATGAGAGGAGGGGACTTTTTTGGTCTATCGAGCCAACCTACAGACCCATAGTTTTAAGCGATCATCACTAGCGCTGCATCCGTAAAGCACCGAACAAACATCAGATCTCGCTGCAAAGGCTTTCAGAGCGAAGAAGCGAGTCGATGAGGAACCTTTCTCTGCACCATATGCAATGCGCAATGCATCAAATCTCAGAAGACATTCGAAAGAACCAGCTGTGGACAAACGTCATGCGCTTACTTCAGATGTCACATCCATCTCCGAAAAGCGATCCACCATTTGAGCGTCGCCAAAGTTTTCGGATGCTCTGCGCAGTAGCAGACGGACACCGCCTTTTCGCTAATAAATCAGCGCGGAAGTTGTGATGATAAGCGCCGACCAGCACCTAAGAGCTGCCTCGTCGTTTACGAGGATTCGTATTTCTGTATAGCACGCAATTCCGCCGGCGATTCACGTGCGATTATGCACCGCCGACTTCAGCTCCGAATCCTTCTGCGTTCCGCATACCAGCTTCACCGAGAGTCCGCGCGATGTCATCAACGAGCGCAAGGAGGGCCGAAACCCATCTTGTTCTCACATGCAGCGTAGGCTCTTGCGGCATGGTGTCTTGCAGCTCTAGTGTTCTGTCACGGACGTGCGTATGGGATATGAAAATTATGATGTCAGGCTCCGGGTTTCTGTCCGTCGGCTATGGAAGGAAGCACGAGTTTGATAGGGATCAGCAACCAACATCCGTGAAAGGCATTTTGTATGTCCGATGGTGCGCGCATCCTGCCCTTCCCTGCGACTCGAGGACATTCCAGACCGCCGAAGACTCTGGACCCGCGGAGGAAGCAAGAACTTGTTGAGTATTCGCTGCTGTAGATACCTGGACTCGTAGCGGGCCCTATTCCGTTGCCATCCCGATCACATTGGAGATCGAGCCGAATTTCTGTGCTGATCGTGAGGCACACACATGGAGTGAGGACAGGTGACTTCGCTTTGCGCTTTTCGTCGTGTATCGAGATCTGGTGGTAGCTGGACCGGAACATAGAACTCAAATTCATCACTCCGATCTGATTGAGACAAGTGGGCGGAAACCGGATCACGGATGTGCTGCAAGGTACAGGGTAGACATCGATTGGAACCCCGAAGCGTGCAACCTCCCTAACCGGAATCCGCGCACCGCACGGTCTGGAAGAGCATAGCTGGACATTGGAATAGATCTGCCTCAATGGCGTCATGAAGAAGGCTAGCAGCAGAAAGGGCAATGTATTACAATCAGCACCTGAAACACAGCTCCATAACTGCAACCACCGTCTGAGCTCTCAATTTCGTAGCAGAATGGTCACAAAAAACCGCACGAGTCATGATAATCCAAAGAGCTAGAGCGGTGACTCCGCCCACTTGCAAGACCTTATGACTGTCATGACACGATCCGCGTGGCTGGACCTGCTGCGCGAGATCAGAATCTGCTTCGGCCGAAGACTGGATTCAGCAAGGAAAACGCCGATCGCTCCGACGGAGACTGCGCTCCGCCCATTCTCTCATTATAGTGAACGGATCAAAGAAACAACCTAGACTGGACTCCCCGAGTTGCAAGCAACCGGCGCACGAGAAACAACGCTCTGTCTTGACCAATGGATGGAATCGAGGAGCTTCTGGCCATTTGCCAGATCCTTATTCTGCATGGATATTGCATGAATATGCGCCCAAATTTGTGCATTTGTCACGAAAATGAGCACAACCGGGCCTGCAGTGGTCAAGAATAGCTCGAATGTCCCCGTGAGCTAGAACCACAGAAGGATCTATCGACAGCAAGGGTTCTGCGTTCGGCTCGGCACCTGTATCGTGCTCGATGGGCCGAAGCACGGCTTCTTGAGGAGTGTTGGGAGTGTTTATCTGGCGCACACCGGGCCAAAAGCAAGCTGCTATGCGTCAGCCTGGCTCAGCCTCATTTGAGATCGAATACATTTGTCCACAAGTATCTCGTTGCCTGAAGCTGTTTCGAGAGTTCAGATAATTGTCCGACCCGGAAGTGCATTAATTCCGAGCGATTGCCGGCAATGCTCGTAGAAGACGCAAGCATCAGGACTACCGCTGTTTCCTCTACCAAGTTTCCGAACAAAATAGATTCCTGAGGCCATTCGCACTTCCCTGTCGCAATATCAGCTGTCTGTCCTATCTTTAGAGGGGTGATAGTCTCCACGACACCCTCCCTTTGGAGCCTACCGCACACCGATCTCGGCCTCGAACGACCATTAGAAACATCCCTAAATCACGCTTGGAAAGAGGTGTCTGTCACCACGGAGCTTGGACCGAGCAACGATGCAAACGGTAGGAGCACTCGAGCCAGTTGCGCTACGGCATTGCTCTGCCATAGTGTATGTAACGCCGAGCTAGGTATGTCCCCCAAACGCTTGTCTTCAGTTCCTTCATTACTTCGCAAGTCGTTTCTGAAGTCGTACGCTGGTAGCGCATGTGAAACTTGACGTACCGATGAACCAAACAAGTTTCCGGCTGACCGGGAGTGGGAAATGTGAGTTCGGGGATTTTTCCAACTACCGGTCGCTCCACCTAGACATGCGGGACGCAATTGTTTTGGCACCAGGCGGCAACGTTGACCGGGAAGACGGGAAAGATCGAGGACCGCGGCACACGTGCCACGCGAAGCTGTCAAACCAGCTCAGCAGCTTCCAGAAAGGGGAATTTCACACGGAAACGCCTTGTCAGTTCCTCCCGTCTAAGCATTCAATGGAAACATGTAGGCAAGGCAAATGTACAATTATCAAGTCCAGTATCACATAGACGGGGTTACCGGTCGCGGTCAGAAATCCTCGGCGCACAAGGCGGAACTGCAAGCCGAGATGGGTCGGGTGCACATGTCAAGTCGTGGCAACTAGACTTCAGAGTCACGTAAGTATGGAGGCCGGGAATTATATGCTGATAAGCGGAGGACATATCACTGATACGCGAAAGTTTGCCGACATGGCATCAATGTCATGATGCGCTCTATGTCATGATGCGCTCTGTCTGGACCCCGAACGCTCGTTAACATGTATGAAAAAGGCCAAGTACATGCACTGTAGAGTAGCGATAGAGCGTAACTACTTACATGAGACTAGACAGTCCAAAAAACTTGCAGTAACCGGAGCATACATGCTGCTCAGGAAACTTCTCGAAGAACCTGCCTGAATTGCCACCACCAAACAGACCACGTTCGAGAGTCCTGATGATCCAGTCAGATATCAAGAGCACGCAGATTGACACAGCAGTGGACTGCGCACGGTGAAGTCATAACCTGCGGATCCGTCAAGAGATTTCCGGAGCCTTGGATAGAGTTAGTATGAAACAGTGAGCCAGATCGAATGAACCGGCCTTGAAGATCAGAAAGAAAGACCAAACGCCCGGTGTGTTCGTATTGGACATGTTGTGTAAAACAGAGGAACGATGCCAACAGCTTGAGATCTTCTGGAAGCGACGGAACGGGCACTGCACTATTGTTATTGATGTACTTCACAAACTTGCCTGAAATTCAGTGAGCAATATACTCGAGTCGTTGCAGAGAACAAACCCGTTCCAATTAATTCTTCAATGAGATATGATCGTCGGAGTGATGTCATCATTTTGCTCGACTTGCCATCTGCCGCCGCATTGTGAACCAGAGCAACGCCGGCCTCGACGAAGCGGACTTCAAAGATAGGGAGGTCGCCTGGTGGCGCGACATGCTTTGATATGTAGTTACGCACGAAAGAATAAACGAAACTGAGAAGGGTAGTGCCCCAGAATAGGAGATTTGCCTCCGATACATGGTGCGCATATTCATCGATGGGGTTGAAGCGGATCAAGACGGTATTCTTGTTGTTCTTGAACATGCGTTTCGCGGCAACGGCTTGATTTGGAAGCGCTCCGAGGGGTGTGGTCGGCAAAGTGGACAGCGTCAGAAACGCAGAATGAGCAGATTTGAACGAACCGATCCCCAGAGGCTTCTCCGAAGGCTGGAGCGACAGAGTACCGGCTTCCGCCTTCGCAATATCGCAGACAAATTTTTGTCCGCCATTTGCGAGGAGATTATTGAGATCGGAGGTCCCAGTGATACGGAAGAATTGGATTATCTCCGTTGTGTGCAAGGCTGCATAGAGATTAGATCTGAATACTTAAGTTTCATAGTAAGACGCACCTCTCGCAATGTTGGGAAAGGAGCCGCCTATACTGAGTGCCTTTCGAAGACGTTGCTGGTCAACCGGATGATAATCGTCGATTGGACTAGCAGCACGCTTTTTCGAAGTCGCTATCTTGCTACTGGATTCCTATTCCATGTATGTATCGAGTCAGCGACAAAACATGAGAAGGGTAAACGAACACACCTGAGACGAAATTTCTCTCGTGCCAGAGCTTGGAAGCGGCGACTCTGGCAGCGCTTGATCTGGCTGAGTAAAGTCCTGCAAGCTTGGCGCCGATCGAGAGGGTCGAACGGAGCTGAACGAACTGGCAGTGGCAGTCTGCTGGATAAATAATCAAACAGATACAAGAATCAAGATAGAAGCGCTCACCTTGCTCTTTGTTTTTGAGCGTGTCAAACACCCGTTACTCGGTTCCTTAGTAGTCTCCGCGGCCGACAGGACTGTCAATTTGAGGGCCGAAGGCTCAGGGGCACGCTGTACCATGTGCGAGCGTAGCGCAGATGAGACGGTATCGGCATTATCCTTTCAGAAAGTCAGTCGTGCCAAATACCGGAGAGTACTAGTATACGCACCTGAATAGAGAGTGTGTCCAGCTCCCGGGCATCACGGTAATTTTCATATCTGAGCCATTCTTTGGCGTCGATGACAAGTGCAAATTGAAAGGGCTTTCTCGGTCGCTGAAACACGAGTTGGCCCTTGTCGGCACGAGCCTTTGATGTCTTGAGGCAACGCTCATAGAGCACGCTGGATCCTGGGAGCTCCGCGTGGACATTGATCCACGTTTCAGTATCGCGTACTAAAAAATTAGACTCATCAAATACAAATTGAGAGTCAGTTTCCTGAGCGATGGCTTGACGAAGCTTGGGCGCCACGTTATCAAACACGGCTGTGATAATTTCGCTTGCGGTAATTGTTGCAGGGACATTCTTGCCCTCGTGAATCGTCTGGAAGCACAAATTCGTGACAAAAAATGATACACGTCACCGTAACATACCCCAAAGACTTGCCCAGTAGGTCGACCACGAGTCTCATAGCGGACACCAATGTTCAGGGTGATCCACTGCGGCGACATCCCAGTATACGCTGATTTGGTAAAAGCCCCGCGTGCCGCGGCATACTGAGAGTGAGCAGCAGAATAGCCTTGGCTTGAATATTGCCCCGGATTAATTGGTGCACTGGACGATCCGGAACTTGATATCGGTTGGTTTGGAAGCGAAACACGAGGACCTTAAGAATTCAGATATTAAATTTGAGCAGATCATGATGTACGTGCCTGTGGATCGCTGTGGGATCTCAAGGGGCGGTCCCATTAGACCCGATGGAATGGCCGCAATCCGGCCTCCACGAGATGCGTCTGCGAATGCTCAGTCAGAAGCAGGGTATAGAACAAAAATAACATACCTCCAACGCGTCCTTGGATGTTCCTCTGCCGGATAGATTCTTTCTCGCCTTCCAGATCGCCCCGGAACGTTGCTGCACAGATTGTGATTGATAAATTGCATCAGTTTTAGCATCTAAACGTACCTCGGACCGAGCTCGAGGCTTTCCTTGCGTAATGCGCATGGCAAGCTGCACACACAAGCCTGCCACCGGAGACAGCAGAAAGGTTCTCCACCCGGAAGCGAGGCTGACCGGGCAAGATCAGCAAGCCCTTTGTGAGATCAGAACGGTCGCGAGTGTAGCATCGGGCTCCAGTCTGGCACACAACGGGCTCCTGATCAGAACTATCATCGGTGAAGTTGGCAAAGAGGGTTGATCCAGACATGATCAGAGCACCAGTAGGCGACGATTAAGTCCCATTTTGTGAGACGCTTTTAAGGCCTTTGAGCGTCAGCAATTAGTAGTGGGTCGACAATCTCGGCTGTGTTGCCAGAGTGCTCCCCCAGGCTCGGTAAGACTGCCTCGGTCTCAGTAAATTTCACGGTGTGTCATGGATCCTCAGTTCTTAATCAACGTGTTTGGTGGAATGGATGTAGCGCCTTAAGCATGTGCCCGGCCGCACTAGGGCTCCGCCAATTACTGGGCTGTTAAACCCTTGAATTTTCCGCGGTGGTATGCAACGAGCACAGCAAGCGCTCAACATGTGCGATTTCAGTGTTGATGCTGATGTTGAATTTATTACTGCCGCCCTGCGTGTTCTCAAGCGAGGCCCTCGTTGAGAAACAACGACTCACCAAAGTACATGCCTGGGAAGTTGCACTACCGGACAAGGAGAATAATTATATCAATTGGGATCCGATCCGAAATGATATCTAGGTTTGTAAAAAGTCCTTCGGTTATCAACATTAACATTATCAACATGAGTTGAAAATAACTCCGATCAGCAACGTTTTTGTTTACCCTGACTTTCTAAGTACATGCATATGCCTTCCACTCCGTACTACCGCCGTACCCAGCTCGTTGATCGTGTTCTCAGATCGCCACTATAAAGTGAGTCCTGGCTTATTCGCACTCCAACAGAAGCTCCTCCTCGGTTCTTTTGTGCCACCAGCGGTCTCATAACTCTCTGAATGCCCAATCAGTACAAGCCCGTTCGTACGTGTTACACTTCCAACTGTTTCACCTTGCCCTTGCTCTGGAACGTTCACAGCTAATGCTGAAGACCTCCGTCCTTTCATCGAGAAGTACTGGAAGCAGAACAAGAAGGATGTCGAGATCGTCGAGCTGCTCAAGAAGTATCACATCGATCTCAACAAATACGGCCTCGAGTGCGTGTATATTTGTGTCTTCATTGTGCAGGCTACTAACCGCTCTCAATTAGAGTTCAAACATTTAGAAAAATTCGCGAGAAGCTTGGTTTCATACGCACGCGGCGTCAAGGCCACACCGTGGACACAATTGGGGTATTTATTGTCAAACTCCGTCCGATCTATCCCAAGGCTGGCGGACGGGAGATGGTTAGCTTGCTATTACACGAGGAGAATGTGCGCGTGTCCCGGTGTGTGATCCCTCCAATTGTGTTCTCATACGCTCACATAGGTATGTTTCTAGCGAGACTGTAATGCGCTATTTTCACACTCATGAGCCCGATCTTGTTCGTGAGCGCCGACGTGGACACTTCAAGCGCAAGCAGTTCTGGGCAGCGGGTGCCAACGATATATGGGCTGTAGATCAGCACGACAAATGGAAGTATAAATTCGGTTTAGCGCTACACACTGGGATTGACCCATTTCTCGGCATGATTCATTGGTTGAAGATTTGGTGGAACAACAGCAATCCCCGCCTTATATTCAGCTATTATCTGGAAACCGTGGAACGGCTTGGGGGTATGTGCAGTATTGATCTCTTCGGACTTATATTCACGACGTTTTTATCGCAGTCATCCCACTTGTGACCCAGAGCGATCCTGGGTCAGAGAACGTGGGGATTGCGAATGGACACACACAGCTGCGTCACTATCAGGACCCCTCACTTATCGGCACCTCTCAGCACCGTTGGATGCGAAAGAAGAAGAACATCATGCCGGAAATCACATGGAGTCAGATGCGGCGTCGATTCACTCCTGGCTTTGAAGACATCCTCGACGTTGGTGTAAACGAGGGCTGGTACAATCCGGGAGTTCTACTCGAAGCGTGTGTATCTTCCTTACTTTCAAAGCGATCTTCGACTTCTGAATCACAGCGCAGCTTAGTCTTCCGTTGGGTATTCATCCCGTGGCTTCAGGGCGAGCTCGAGCTGTATCGGCATCGCGTGAACAATACCGCAAAGCGCTGTGATCGTAACAAGATCCTTCCTCACGGTGTTCCGACTAGCATGTTTGAGTTCCCAGAGGATTACGCCATCCTCGATTTCAAGGTACGAGTCCAATTTCATCAAGTACAAGCCACTAACTACTAGTCCCTTACAGATCAAGGTCGATCCTATCGGTATTGAAAAAGTCCGACAGATGTACGCACCACCTGATCATGACGTCTTTCTCCTTGTTCCCCCTGACTTCGAGATCGCGATCTTGGATATCTATGCAAAGCTTAATAGCCCTATTGTGGACCGGGACTCATGTTGGGATGTATATCTCCAGCTCCTGAATTGCCTCAAGGAGTTGGATCAGCTCAACGATATCGATCAGAGTGCCGATGCAAGGTGGGGGCATGTGCTGACCCAGCCGGTCGATGAAAACATTCCCCTTCTCCCAAACTTGCAGGAACTGCGGGGCGGTGAGGGGGTCGTCGGAGAGGGTGCTTATTATATGGGTGGAGTCAACAATGGGGATGGTCTCGGTATGTTCCATTACTTGGGAACCTTACTGTTCACTGACTCGTCTCCTTTTGGAGGTCCTGAACATCACGCATGTCTGAACGCAATGATCAACGATATCGAGCCCGAAGTGGATCCCATGCCCAACTCCCAGTTACCGGATGACGCTCACGCATTGTACGCATGGTTCTCGGACGAAGAAGACTCTCAGGATTTCAATGATCATTGGTAGTACATACATGCTGACGAGCAGTGATGCGCCCTAGCCCTGAAATCAATCGATCACGTGCACGAAAAGATCCAATGGATTTGTCAGCGAGCTCGTCAAGGTTGTTGCACGTGATCATTTGATCAATCTATCACGTGCACTGAAAGATCTCAATGGATTTGTCAGCGAGCTCATCAAGGTTGTTGCACGTGATCATTCTGATCATCACTAACGAGCGTTCGGGGTCCAGACAGAGCGCATCATGACATAGAGCGCATCATGACATTGATGCCATGTCGGCAAACTTTCGCGTATCAGTGATATGTCCTCCGCTTATCAGCATATAATTCCCGGCCTCCATACGTAAGTCCTCTTTTGTCGCTAGGCCTCATTTTTCAGTTACTAGACCTTCTCCGAGGCCAGGGTCTCTCACGACATTTCTTTCTCCCCACATCTTTCGCAATGCCTGCCGATTCAGATACTCAAACAATGTCGTCGACCATCGGCCCCGATCTCCCAGTTCACTCGACGACTTCGAATGCCCCGGGACGCGACTTCGGGTTCCTGCCTGTGCCTCGGTGCGCCCATCTGGGTAGCTCTGGCGAGATTGGTTATGCTAGAGTCCTTGCGTTTGCAGTCGCGGCTACTTTCAGTGAGTGTCCCCGCGTTTCCGTTAGGACCAATGTACTGACCGGGTTCAAAGCTGGTGCGCAGATCGAACATTTCTCTCTCTCTTTGATAGTCATCTTTTCTCCCCTTAGCAATGAATTTGTACTACTGCCAACCCATTCTCGGTGCGTCATATTCCGAGGGCCTTGATTCAAAATGTCTGACCTACTTTGGCAGTACAACTTGCGGAAGCGTTTCAAGTCGACGACTTCCAAGTCTCTCGAATTCCGATTCTTCTCCAGGCTGGGCAATTATATTTTCTATATTACTTCCAATCTCATCTGATCCGACATTCCAGATACGCGACGGGTTTGCTATTCATCGCACCGCTAGGCGACATATTCCATCGGCGGCAGCTCGTTCTGATTCTGATTCTAATTTCGGGAGCCCTCACTGTCGGTCTCGCATTGACGAGCTCATTGATCGCCTTTGAAGTCCTTTCTTTCTTGACAGCAGTCGCCACCGTGACCCCTCAGGTACCGAGTTTTTTTTTATACCTCGCTCAGCGTCCGCCGCTCATATAGATCTTGCAGGTCCTGATCCCTCTCACTGCGGATCTGGCTCCAGCGAACCGGCGGGCAACCTTCATCGCCCTCGTCCTTGCAGGGCTTCTCACGGGTGTTCTCGTTGCCCGTGTTTTCGCCGGGATCATCGCGCAATATTCATCATACCACAATGTCTATTGGATGGGTGCCGGCGGTCAATTTTTCCTCGCCATCGTCCTCTATCTGATCACGCCACCTGTCCCGGTCAAAAACACCGGCCTATCATACTGGCAGATCATGAAGAGCATGGCGAAATTTGCAGTGACCGAGCCCATCCTGATTCAAGGATGCATCATCTTTTTCTGCGGCGCAGCGATATTCTCCGGATTCTGGGTTACCATGACTTTCCTTTTGGACGGCGAACCCTATAACTATTCACCGTGGGTCGTGTTTCGCTCTCACGTGTAATCCTCTCGCTCAGATCTTGAAGTTTGGTCATCGGAATATTCGGTGTCGTCGGACTAGCGGGAATATGCATGTCACCGCTCATCGGACGGGCGGTAGACAGCCTTGTGCCCTGGGCTGCGAGCTTTGTTGCCATATGTTTCGTTCTGTCGTCTCAGATCATCGAGACGTTTGGTGCCGAGAAGAATATTGCCGCTGTTATTATTGCGACGCTGAGTACGGGGACATTTTCGATCATTTTCATTATTCTTGATCCTTTCACAGTTCTCGATGTCGGTGCTCAAGCTACTCAAGTCTCAATGACGACAGTCATTTTCGGGTGCAGACATATTTCCATTCGAAACGCCATGCTATGACTCACTGTTTTTTCTTTGCATCTAGAATTGACCCACATGCTCGGGCGCGTTTGAATACCCTGCTCGTTGGATCCGTCTTTCTCGGGCAGGTCACTGGAACTGCTGTTGGAACTAAACTATATGTTTCTGGCGGATACAAGCTCTCCTCGGGCATCCGCGTCGTCTTTGCTGGAGTTGAGCTTCTCGCGCTTCTGGCAAGAGGCCCCCATGTCCCGAGGTACACTTGGGTCGGATGGGCGGGCGGCATGAAACTTCGGAAATCGTCGCCAGCGCCACCGATAGAGGCAGAAATCACGGAGGCGGAGCTTAACTCCGGCGGAAAGAACCAGTAATTCATGAAATAGAGTGTATTTTCAGCCCCTCAGCGAAGCAGTGCAGGACTTTGATCTCTTGGAAAAGCTGGAGGAACATGAGCCGCCGCGCATCGCACATAGTTCCATCGGGCGGGGGGAGACCGAGAGTCGGCAACGCCATGAATCAGACTTTTTCAAAGGATGTATACCATCATTGCTCTGCGCATGTACTGCGGCTCAGCGAGTAATACCCGAAAGAGAGACATAGCGGGCGATGCTATCCAACCATTTATCCAACCGCTTGATTTTGATCTCTAATAGCGTCATTTTGGGGGTCTGCCAAAAATACAGCATCTTCGGGCACATCTTCTCGGGCGAACAAGGCTCAATTTGCCGTAGTTTGAGCGCAGAGAGAAGATTGCGTACCGTATTCGCAATGTGGAGCTTTCTGACTCAGTCTCGAATCCGGATCCTCGGTCCTCGGTAATCACGGTGTCTCCGAAAAGCAGGGAGGGACAATCGGAGAGGTGATCGATCAGTCTCACGATCGGACACGGAGATCCAGATCAGAGTTTTTCGAGCTCCCGAAATCTTTATCATGCCTATGATTTCCCTCGCCTTGTGGTCGATCTTCATCGGAGCAAGAACGATCGATGCCGTTCACTCATGTGCAGGCTGCTGCACTGGGACCAGTGGAAACTAATCACGCAGAGATTTCGCTCATTGCGGCCCCCCTGTTGTACATCACTTCCCTGAACGGGCCGAAGCGAATGAGCAGAAGATACGTTACGAACTATGCCCTCATTGGGTTACATGAATCACGGCCGTGGTTGCGGTCGAATGTACTACTGACTTACTCGCGCGTGTTTGGGCCGAGACTTGGCCATTTGATTGGTCGAATGCTAACTAAAAATGGCATCCACCTATTTCTGGATCGAGCTAGGGAGCCAGAGGGAGAAGTAAGCGAAACGGCTCCCCGGCGGATTTGGCATTCCATCCGAATCAGCGGTCTTCAATTTCGTTTCGAAATAGCCGGAAAGCTTCATGATAGTCCAAGAACCATTGCGCGTTCAAAAGCGCTTCTGCACACTCTGCTTTGAAGACAAAAGGAGATTGGAATACAACACCCTTCATCCGAGGGTTAGTTGCATGCAGACTTCTGTGACTCATTCACATGTGATACAACAATGATATGACGTTGTGAATCCATCAGAAAGCATCTCATTTCTCATTCACCTCGTCGCCATGTCTTTGAGAGATGATCGAGATCCGTACGCCAGTTCCGAACCCACATAAACACTCCCATGGATTGAACTCGACATCCAAAAACTCAACATCCCTGTACTTCCCCTCAACATGTGGAAAGCACTGGCTGTTCTCGCTGTCCTTGGTGTAGCCCGGCTCACATGGCTCATCTACCGTCGCGCCGTCGTCAAGTCACCACTGCGCAATCTCCCAGGTCCCCCGTCCAAGTCGTGGCGGACAGGCCACTTGTCGTTTCTGTACAATCCCGCCGGGATGTCCTGGCACCACGATCTCACCCAGAACTACGGGAGCGTCGTCAAAATCAACGGCATCATGGGGGTCGGGCTCGCGTAGATTTCCGTGCACATAATCAAGGCTGACATTTGCGCAGGACGAGCACTTGTATGTTGCCGATCCACTGGCGCTCCATCAGATCACGGTCAAGGAGCAGGACGTCTTTGAACAGACAAAGATGTTCGTTCAGTGCGTACTTTCAGAGGCGCTGTGCCTGCCCATTTGCTCACAATCCACGTCGCAGGGGAAATGGAGTCATCTTCGGCGACGGTCTGCTCTCGACCGTGACTGACCACCATCGGAACCAGCGTCGCATCCTCAACCCGATCTTCTCCAGCAAGAACATGCGCGAGCTCTGTCCGGCTGTGTTTGAGGTCGCCAACAAAGTCAGTCGGTCGCGTCACACTGACTTTTGGCTCCCTGTCTGACTCCCGTGCTACCCCCAAGATGGTCCATCTCATCAACGTCAAGACCAAATCCGGCCCCGCCGAAATGGACATGCTCGATCTCATCATGAGGACTGCGCTCGAGGTCATCGGACAGGGTGGACTCGGCCACTCTTTCGAGGCGCTCGAGGAAGACCGCGATCCCAACACCGCCTTCAGGACAGCACTACGAGGCCTGATTCCGACCATCTTCTCGCTGCAGATCGAGCGCCAGATCCTGCCGTTCATCCTCAAGATCGGCACACCTGGCTTCCGGCGCTGGCTCGTCGACGTCACACCCAGCCGCCGGCTGCACAAGCTGCGCGACATCGTCGACGAGATGCACAGCACGACGCTGGCGATCTTCGAGTCCAAGAAGAAGGCGATGCTGATGGGCGACGAGAAGGTTCTGGAACAGGTCGGACACGGGCGCGACATCGTCAGCATTCTGAGTAAGTGACGAGCTGTGATCTCTAGCCGCTGGGCGCGTCCCTGACGAATGCATCCAGTGCGAGCCATGCACGGCGCTTCGACGCAAGACGTGATGCCCGACGCAGAAGTCCTGGCCCAGTTGACGACGCTCGTTTTCACATCACACGACACAACTTCCTCGACGATCGCCCACATTCTCCACCTCCTCTGCATCTATCCCGACGTGCAAGACCGTCTCCGCGCCGAAATCAAGGACGCACTGGACACCTGGGAGAGGGAGCACGGGAACCGCGAACTCGGATACGACTTGCTGATGGAGCTACCGTTCCTCGAGAACGTCTGCCGGGAGACGCTCCGACTGCATGCCGCAGTGACCTTCATGACCCGCACGTAAGCCACGAGCAGCTTTCGTCCACACAAGAGTCTCATCTCCCCTCAGAGCCCGCTCCGCTTCTGTTCTCCCTCTGCTCTATCCGCTGACCGGCACCGACGGCAGGACGATCACCGAGATTCCCGTCGCTGAGAACCAAAACGTGCACATTGGGATCGCAGCGGCGAATCGCGACCCGAAGATCTGGGGTCCCGACGCGAACGAGTGGAAACCTGATCGGTGGGCAAACGGTGTGCCCAAGAGCGCGGCCACCGCCCATCTGCCGAGCATCTACGCTGGTACGATGAGTTTCCTCGGCGGCGGGCGCGCCTGCATCGGCATCAAGTTCGCACAGTTGGAAATGAGTAGGTGATAACGCGCAGATGTGAGCGCACTCACTGATCCATCCATTGCAGAAGTGATGATCTGTGTTCTGCTCGACAACTTCCGGATCAGTCTCCCGAAAGAAGAGATCATATGGAAGCTGGCGAACATCCAGATGCCATGGACTGAGGGTGCCGCGGGCCCAGCCATGCCTTTGACGCTGCAACGTCTGTGACGTTTGGGAATGATTGCATGATTGTAGTAGATTGTAGTGACCATCACCTATGTAGTTTTCCGTCCGAAATCGAAAAACGAGGGATCACATGACACTGACAGCTGAGGAGAAAGCAAGGCCGAATCCAGGGTAACAATCGAGTGACATCAGTAACAATCATGTGTAGTGACTCCGCCGTCAGCGCCCTCCGCTCATGCCCTCTTCCTCCGAGTCACTAAGTTCGGCTTCTCGGAGTCGGAGGAGTCGGAGGAGCGAGTCGGATTCAGCTCAGAAGTTGTCCTCATTGTCCCCGATGATGGCTAACACAGGATGTAGGTAGAAAGCGTACTGTACCAATTCAATCACTTCGACACGGGGCCCGAATCTTTGCCCCGAAAAAATCCCAAAGAAATCTGAAAAATCGAGAAAGAATTAAATCCGGGGTTCACTGTATGTGAGGGTCTAGTTGACCACCCTGGCTAGTTGGCTGATCCGATTACTGGATGGGAACCGCTTGACTTGGGGTTCTGCAGTGTATGTAGGATGAAAGAGGGATACCGGATGCCCCTCGAACACAATTTTGGGCCCAATGGCATCAAATCATTGTGTGGCAGGTGTGATTTGACATCAACATCGAGGACATACGGACCAATTTCTTATTTTGGAAGGGTGATTTGCTGACCAATCACGCTCCCACACCACCACCTCTGCCTTATCAATGGCAGTCAAGTGCTCGTCTCACTGTCAAGACCCAATGACACCCTCCGCCATACTTTTCTTCCTTTCATCTGCCTTCATACGCTCTCAACATTGCTGTCATCGGGCACATATGGGGAATGTCTTGGGTAAAAGGGTGTTATATTGAGCTGTGTGTGTCATAGTTCAACCCTTTTTCATCTTATCATCAACGATCTTATCTTATCTCAGCATGGATTATCTTATCACAGATCACGGCATCAGACGGTCCAGGCTAGGGGTCTAGGGTTTATCTTTATCGATTCAAGGCTGCGCAACATATGCTCCAGAAGATTCTACTACAACCCATGACCAGTGCTCCATGCGGTATGTAGCCTTATGACTCATTAGTTGTAGATATGACTCACACTGGATTTGGGTATAAATACTGTAGCTACTTGGTTGTATTCTCCAGTCTTCGAATTCACTTCTCTTTTTGGACATTATTTCTTGTTGATTGTCACAGTGTGCTGTACATAATTAGGTGCAGGGTAGCTCTCAAAACTTTCCCTGTGCCATTATGGTGGTAAAAACCTTGCTTTTCTGCCCTCACATCATTTTTAACAAATTTATCGAGCCCTCGCCATTGCCGAAGACAACAGACACCTCATCTGTAGCGGAAATGTTGCATGACAGGAATCCCATGATAATTTGATTGGCATTTGACAGTGTTTGGCTGGCACAGCGTCCGATTGTAGTATATAGTAGTCTACCCCTGTGTGTTCGCTTTCCTTTAGTCCATCCTATCCTTATCCCTCTCAGCTCTGCCCTTCCATGTGGCGGAACCTCTCTGTACGGCAGCTTCCGTCACATATTTTTGAGAGTCTAGGCTTGACCTGTTGATGCTCCGTTTTCCGCACTCGACACTTAACTCACCACAAACCCCTTAACCTTCTCGAGGACGAAGCCTTGACAACAATACACCCCGAACTCAAAACCTTTGACTATGAGCAATCCTGGCAAACAACCCCACCGCTTTCACCCGAACACTCGAGCTGGGAATCCCCTACCTCCCTCTTGTGTCACCCCAGCTTCTGCTGCGCCCGATTTGGGGCCGACCACCAACGTTGCCAGGCCCCTGAGTGTCCAGGGTGACACTCCGGCTCCTCATCACCCTGACGACCACGTGGCAATGGCCCCGTCAGCCTCCCGCGGTCGGCTGGCTTCCCCCAACTTGCTGTACAGTCGCGCGGGAATGCTGGTCGCTCCTCCTCCTTCCCCAGCCGTGGCAATGACTGTGGGGTCACCCCGGTTGCCACGAGACATCCCGGACTCCGGTCCGGCAAACCCAGCCCCTGTCTCTGACAGGGAGAACCTTATTGAATTTGACAATGAGGCTAGTGACGCTTCGACAGCGCCGTTACGCAGTGCCGGCTGGTCGCCGGTAACCCAGGACCGCACAAGTGAACGGCATACCGTTGCCTTGCTCACACCCACAACCATTGCTCGCGCGATGGCAAGCATGAGCATTCAAGAGCTGGTGGAATTTGCCCGCCGCTATCAAGCTATTGCTTAGGAAGCTTTAGCTGCAGCGGCTGAACAGAGTGCTTTGCGCGACAATGCCACAGAAAGTGCAAACAAAGACTTGATTAGAATGAATACTGCAGATAAGCGAATAGATGATTTTACTGAACACGAACGGGAGCCGTCTCTTGTGAGCTCTTTCTATCCAGTCTTTGAGTCCACCCCCGCCGTTGATCATCCTGTTGTTGAGCATGTCGATGGTGACCCGTCCCAACCCAAGGGCAAGGGTGTTGATCCTCAAAATTGGGGAGTGTGTGACAATCAACCCAAAAACAAAGTCGAAAAGAGAAGTGAATTCGAAGACTGGAGAATACAACCAAGTAGCTACAGTATTTATACCAAAATCCAGTCTGAGTCATATCTACAACTAATGAGTCATAGGGCTATGTACCGCATGGAACACTGGTCATGGGTTGTAGTAGAACCTTCTGGAGCATATGTTGCGCAGCCTTGAATCGATAAAGATGACCCCTATCCCCCTAGCCCGGACCGTCAGATGCCGTGATCCACGATAAGATAATCTGTGTCGAGATAAGATAAGATCGTCGAGGATAAGATGAAAAAGAGTCGAATTATGACATTACCCCCTCTCTAGGGTCAATGTCCTCATCGACTAGGCCAATGGGCGTGAAGACGTTCTCGTAAGGGTCGAAGAGTTGTCGTTGGGGATATGGAAGGCGCTCGTCCCTGGGTTTGTAGCGATGAATGAGATAGTCCCAGTGTCCCGCTTCGAGCGTTGGCAGGAGGCGAATGCGTGTGTCTGGATTTGATTGTTTCCTCTGCCAATCTCTTAGGACCTGCTTTGCGTGGATAAGGTGACGTGATGGTTCCCAGGTGTTCTCGCTATGCAGCCATCCCTTCCATTTGACCAAGTACTGTTTTCCTCGGCCGACGTTTCGCTCTTTCACAATCTCTTCGACCTCCCACTCCTCTGCTCCTCCGATCATCTTGGCTACGGGTCTCTTCTCTCGGCGATGGGGGGGTGGTTCGTGATATGGTGTCAATAGTGACTCGTTGAACACCGGGTGTCTTCGGTCCGTGTCCGGCAAATCCAGCTTCCATGCGGCCGCTCCAACCTTCTCCAGTATCTCGTATGGTCCTAATCTCTTGTCGCTCATCTTCTTTGATGGTCTATCCGTCTCGATATTTTCCCCTTCTATGTACACCTTCATCCCAACCTTCAACTCTGGAACTTCTTTTCTTTGTTTATCGTAGTATTTTTTCATTTTTTCATTTGCTTTTTCTAATGCTGCTTTTGCTTCGTCTTGTATTTCTTTGATTCTTTTTACAAACTCCTCTGCCGACTCGTTCCTCGATTCCATCCGTTGTTCCACTCCCTTCCATGGGTGATATCCGTGATTGGCGTAGAACGGTGATATTTTGGTAGACGTGTTCATCTTGTCGTTGTATGCAAACTCCGCCATTCCCAGCCACTCCGACCAGTCTGTCTGATGGTAATTGACGTAGATGCGGAGATAGTGTTTGATCTCCTGATTCATGCGTTCCGTTTGTCCATCTGTGATCGGGTGATATGCGGTCCCCGGATTCATTTCCACGCCCAACATCCGATTTGTCTCCCTCATGAAGCCTTTGATGTAGCGCGAATCCCTGTCAGTGATGATCTTGCGGGGGATCCCGTGGTAGCGGAAGACTTGGTCCCTGGTTAATCGTGCAACTCCTTCACTGCTGATGTCAGTACTAATTGGTTTGACATGGATCATTTTGGTGAAGGTGTCACACCACACATGAATTGCGTCATACCCGTTACTGACCGGTAGGGGTCCAATTTGATCCATGGAGATGATTTCCCACGGCGCATTTGGGACTGCGTGCGGATGCAGAGTCCCTGTCCTTGCTCTCCTGGTCTTGGTTCGCTGGCACGCCTCGCACGTCTGGATGTATTTCCGGATCTGGTTCCCCATCCTTGGCCACCAGTAGTTCCTTTCCACCATTTCCTGCGTTCGGTTGATCCCAGCGTGTCCGACCAAGGGTGTGTTGTGGTGTAGCCCGATGATCTTGTCTCGCAGTTCCTCGTCCCTCAGTACGTAGAGCTTCCCGTGGTATGTGATGAGCCCATCTTCTTTTCTCCATCCAGCGAGTGACTTCTCCAAGGCCACCTTGACGCTTCCATCAATCGATCGAGTGGTCTTGATCTCATCAACTAGCAGCTGATCCTGTCCCTCGAATGTGACTTCTTGTGATCGGAAGAACTCGGGCTTCAGTAGCGTGACGTCCTTGTTGTCGTTCTTGCCCTGATCGTGATCTGCTCGTCGGGACAGGAGGTCCGCCTTGCGCCGGGTCAGTGTCGTAAAGTGAAATCAAACTCCGCCAACTCCGTGATCCATCGTGCTTGTCGTCGATTGAGCTTCTGCGGCTTCCGAAAGTACTCGAGATTCTGATGATCGGTAAAGATCTCGAACGTTTCCGTGGCTCCCAGGAGCAGCTGCCTCCATTCGTCGAGCGATAACATGATTGCAAGCATTTCTTTGTCATAGATCTCGTAATTTCGCTCGGTTTCGGTCAATGCGTGCGAAATAAATGCAATTGGGCGCCAAATGCCGTCTTGGTTCTGGCTCAAAACTGATCCTGTTGCCCCTTCCGAAGCATCGGCTTCCAGACGATATTGGCCAGTGTCATTTGGCAGTGCTAGGACCGCATCCTCCGCGATTCTCTTCTTCAATCCATCAAATGCCGCATGCTCATCTGCACCCCATGACCATCCTGCCTTCCCTGTCAGCCGTGTCAATGGCTTGGCAACCTCCGTGTATCCCCGGACAAAGCGCCGATAGAAGTTTGTGAACCCTAGAAACGCTTGGACTTGTTTGACGCTCTTTGGTTCCGGCCATTCCATCACGCCCTT